TATATATATTATTTTTATTTCCTTTTAGTCCCTGCATAAATTTTATTTTTTTAATCTTTAGAAAAAATAATTGACGGAGATTTAAAAAAAAATACTTTATAAAAAAATTAAAATGAAACGATTTTAATAATAAGGAGTAAAAGACGTAACTAAACTATTTTATTTTATTTTTGTGGCTTTCTTTTCTCCATTCACCCATAACCTCTTCTTCACTTCCTCGAAACTCCATCTCATTGTAATCAACCCATTTCTTCCTTCTTTTTCCTCCACATCCCACAAAGAAAACTTTCATCTTCGTCATCGTGTGGCACCAAATTTGCGTTGTCGTCCCTTTGATCTACGTGCACTTTCATTGATGCATCATAGCTTCATTCACCATCTCCACCCAAGATAAACCCCACCATAAGACCTACGTATACTCTTTTATGAAGTACTAAGGAATTTAGGGTTACAGTTAAACTACTGTGATTATAAAACTAGAAAAATAAAGTTTAATTTTCATATCATCCATTTTCTTCCGAGATTACACTTTAAATAAGAACTCTCAAATGGATCAGGAATACAAGGCCCTTTAGGAAAAGAAACAAAAGCATTATAAACTCAACAAAGGGTTATGAATGATAGGCCCAAAGTAATAATAGTTCTTAGGCCAATCAGGTCCAGAACAAATGCTTGTTGGCCTAACACACTATCACAACCATTTTTGACGAAATCCGTTTTATCAATCAACAAAATCGAGCTTGTAATAGCAAATAGCTTGAGGAATTAAAAACACTTCAACTCATTTCTACTCGATGTTCCTTCGATGCTCATGGGACTGTGGTGTTTATCTTTGGAACCTTGGATAAGCTATTCAATTCTCCTCAATTTTTGAGAAAAAGAATGAAATTGCATGTTCATTACATAGCGTATTATATCAAAGCATTTGAGATTTAAAATTTGAGACTCAAGTACATGCAACAAAAGGAGGTGCAAGGAAGCCAACAAAGGTTAGTCCACTTAGTAAGAAAAATGAACTCATGAAAGGATGTGGTTTTGATTCCTATCGATGTAAGAATGTTATTAGTAAATTATTTATAAGTATTTCTATAAATGTTCATAGACTCTTGGAATCTTTTTGGTCCAAATAAGTAAGGGGTGGACAAAATTATCTATACTAAACTGAATTAATAAGAAACTAATTTAAACTATATAAAAAATTACTAAACTGCTTGCAATAAAACCTTAACTGAACCCATTTCCAAGTTTAATCTAAAAAAAAAAAATTGAACTGCTGAAGAATCAGTTTAGTGCAGTACCAAACAGTTTTGGAAAGTTAATTGTACTGAACTATAAAACTGAACTGAATTATAAAAATTAAACTATTTTTATAAAAGATAAAAATTAAATGTGTCTAACATGTTATGTCTTAATGGATTAACTAGATAGTTTAAAAACCCAAACTATAGAAAGAAAAAAAAAAGTGATAAAAAAAAAAAAAAAAAACCAGTGAAGTCCTTTAACTGCGCTCCTTTGACTGCTTTATGTGTACCTGATTTAAATGGCTTGGAAAACATTAGAAATAAGTTTATTAGTTTCTTTGCCGGACTGAAATATAAGAAAAATTTATGGGTAAATGATAAAAATCTATTTACTAATATTGATATGAAACTTTGTATACATTTCCCTTATTTGTAAGGTGGGTATGTGGTGCGCTTACATTTTATATTCTATAACTCATCAGTTCATATTATAATTTGGTAACTCTTCTCTTCATTCTCATATCTCTATTTCTTGATTTTGTATATTTCTATTTTCATTGTAAAAATTTATTTCATTTATTTACTGTATTATAATAATAATAAAATTAATAATGAGTAAGATTGTATTTTTACAGACCAGGCAATACAGAAAGTCACGAGCAATGGAGGAAGTCATCAGCCTAGCTGACGTTTTGTGATTCCAAGCAACATGTCACTTAGCTTGACATTTTGTAAACGTTTTGGTTTCATCACGTGTCGTCAAAAAGCTTGACATTTTTAGGTTCAGCTTCCCTCGTTTTGGTTCTCATGCAGCCTATGTCTGAACCTCGTCTTCATCTTTGACGTTTTCTAAATTCTACGTATAAAAAATAATTTATTTTAATAAATAATTTTTTAATTAATTTTTTTAATAACTTTTATTTTTATTTTATTTATTATGGCGAAAAATCCCCAAACAACAATGATAAATAGTAAAAATCTTGATAAGGGAAATATGACAATGTTACGTTACTATTTTGATTGAATGAATTTTAAGTTGAAAAATTAAAAAATCAAGAATTTTTAAAATTGGTGGTGATTCAAATATCATCTTCACTACTAGAATTTTTTTTATTACATGCGATTTTTCTTGCTAATTTTTATGAAAAATTCGCAAGAAACGTTGTTCCTACAAATTTTTCTACGAAATTTTATTTGCAGGTAATACCTTCGTGGATAATATATTTTTAAAAATTTTAAAATTCGCAGAAAATTTTCTTGCGAAAAAAATTCTGAGGAAAGTTTCCTGCAAAAAAAATGCAGAAAATTTTCTTGCAAAAACAGTTCGCAGGAAAGTTTTCGACGAATTTTTCGCAAAAAATTCTGCAGGAATATTTTTTTACGAAAAAATTAAGAAAATTACTATAAATTCTATCAATAATTCTTCAACTTTCAAATGTTCACAATGAATTCATCCAAAGTATTTGTTTCTATGTCTCCAACATGTGATACATAATCATTTAAATTCTAAGATTGTAAATTATAAGCCTAATACTCAACCATATAAATCAACTTGTAAGGTAAGTGTTGCCATGTTCCCCCAACTTATATATTTTTTAATTATTTTTTTCAATCGATGTGAGACTTGAAGTTTTTTTAAAATATTAAACATAAATTTAAATATTTTTTTATTTTTCTTGTGGATTAAAATTTGTAGAAAAATTCGCAGGAAAAGTTACCTGCAAAAAAGTCTGCAAGAAATAAAATAAAATTCTTACAATATTTTCTACAAATTTTTACCATGAAAAAAAAAATTTCTATGATCATTAAAATTATAGCAAAATTTGCAAAAATTTATTATAAATTATTTTTCGTAAAAAAAATTATAAGAAATATCTGTAAATTATTTTTTGTAAATAAATTTGTAAAAAAAATTTACGAAATTATTATTGCAAGAAAATTCGTAAAAAAATTTCTACGAATATTTTTTGTAGAAAAATTCGCAGAAAAATGACACTTTTCTATTAGTATTAAACGATTAAAAATAAATTTACCCAATTTAAGAGATTAAAAGTTAATTTAATCCTAAAATTATAAAACAATTTCAATTTTATTAGATATCTAACTTTTTTTTAGTGGATTCAAATAATTAATTAGTAGTATTTTACTAAATACCTCTTAAGCCTTGATTTTGTGATATCGGAACTAGTGAGAAAGTCATCAAATAGTAATATATATACCACGGATCGCAGTGTGATTTCAACTGTAGTGAGAAAGTCATCAATAAGTAATTTAACTAGAAGGAAAAAAGAGAAAATTTTCAGTGTTGATTAAGTTGTAGTTAAACAAAGCGTAGGTTAAAATTGAATACCGCAGTTAAGCAGAACCAAGAAAAGCAACGCAACCATGGGTGCCCTTTTAAGCAAATGTGGTTTTTAAAATTTAATTGTTGGAGTAGACTGGTTAATTACAAAGGTGGGTATTTAAATTGGTTTTGTGGGACCATTATCAATAATTTAACTCAATTGACTTGACTTGTGAACAAGTTTACATCAGCTACAGTAGCACAATGATTTTTTTAAAAATATTCTTTTTAATGATGGTAAAATCACAATTGAATTCCTGGTTAAAATATTTGTAGACACCAGAGTTCATCTTTCTTGCCTACAACAGTATCTGTACATGCCAAAAACAATTGGAGGAAAAAAGTCTTTTACCGAAGGTCCTCGGTCATGGACTCCTCGGTCCTCGGATTTTAAATAGAAAAATGATAAATCCTCCAAATAGAATAATTAAAAAATTAATTAACGTATTAAATATTATATTTTAATTTTTTTTATAAATGTCATTGTATTATTCATTCGAAGGATGATTCGATCATTTTTTCTGTATAACATCACTTTTTTAAATATCAAATGTTTGTTGTACTCGAAAAAAGAGACTTTAATATCAAAATTGAAAGGTGTTTGAAGTGTTTGGATATATTCTATCATATTACTTGCTTCATGAAGGTATATCTATAAGTAAAAGAATTATTACCATTGAAGATTTGGTCATTAAAAATACTCAAAAGTATTTGTTATCTTATAATGGTTGAATGTTCCTCTTTATAATAATTGTAAGGAGGAGTTTGGCCAAGCTGAATACTTCTTAGTCTCATGGATTGCTTTTCTGTAACCAATAATATCTCAACTTATTATTTTATAAATGGGGTCAACAACATTCAACTTTATTATTTTGTAAAACGAATCGACAGCATCTTGATTCCAAGGCCTTTCTAGCACAGAATCCATTGGTCCTTTTACAATATCTCAACTTTATTATTTTGTAAATGAACTCTTAGAATAAATATATCCCTCCTCAAATATATATATATATAAACATTAGAAATAAGTT